CATTTATCTCCATTGTCAAAGAAGTGCGTGTTGTCGAACCGTTGCCACTGAAAGTTGTCGGAAGACTAGCTACATGAGAGTTTTGAAATGTGTTGGTGGTGATGAAGGTGGGTGGTCTCATAAAGATGGGATTTTTATCTGAAGACAAGAAAACAGTTGGGTGTAAATGGGTGTTTACGATAAAATGTAACGCAGATGGAAGTGTTGAGAGATACAAGGCGAGACTGGTGGCTAAAGGCTTCCCTCAAACTTATGGGATCGACTATCAGGAGACGTTTGCTCCTGTTGCTAAAATAAATTCCATCAGAGTACTGTTATCTCTTGCAGTAAATTCAGATTGGCCTCTACATCAACTTGACATTAAAAATGCATTTCTTAATGGTGATCTTGAAGAGGAGGTGTTCATGAGCCTACCGCCGGGATTTGAGCAGAGACTTGGAAGTGACAGAGTATGCAGATTGAACAAGTCATTATACGGACTCAAACAATCACCAAGAGTGTGGTTTGAACGCTTTGGGAAGGCAGTTATCAGTTGTGGCTTCTCGCAGAGTCAAGCAGATCACACAATATTTTATAAACATTCAAAAAACAGTAAAATTGCAATTTTGATTGTTTATGTTGATGACATCATTTTAACTGGTAATGATGAAGCAGAGTTAGCAGCCCTCAAAGAGAAAAACATATTCACCTACCACACTCAACACTCACCTAACACACTTACATCTACCTACCACACTCAACTCTCACCTAACACACTCAACTTTACCTACCACACTTACAATTGTTTTTAAAAAATCTTACGCGTCATACAAATTTCAAAATGTCTTTCTCCTATATTTTTGTTCGAGAGTTGAGATCACTTTAATTTGATGGAATGACTGAGATCATTTGCCAAGAATTTGATTCCCGCCCATTACTCTCCTATTTCTCATTTACTTGACCTTTTCTTTCCTTTTTCCTCTCATCTCTCAAGATTTTCAAAAATGCCCAACAACTATGCTCAATTTGTGTTTTCAACGGAGAGATGAGCAACCAAACTATGGTTTCTTTCAAAGCCTCTGATTTCTTCGAGGTTCATGTATGTATGTTTAGATCTGTGTTTTTGTTTTTGTTGGTTAACTGTTTAATTGATAGGAAGCTTTACAATATTTATACTTTTTTTTCCATGATAATGATTTCATTTAAAATTTGTATATTGGAAGGATCTATTTTACAGATTTGTGGTCACTTTATCAATGCTTGGTGTTGAGTTGAAACGTTGAATAAATTTGTAAGGCCGTTGACATTTCGGTATTCATTGATTGTATTTTTGATTTTTTGAGTGAGTCTCGAATTATTATCTTTTACTAATAATTTTGATTGGTCCCTGATGTTGTCTTTAGAGTTCTAGGGATGCTTTGTTTTGTAAGAGGTTATGGTTTGAGTCCTCTTGAAGTTTTATTACTGGTTGGAGCACGACCAATTATTTTGCTCTCTATTTTATTTTATATTTTTTGGAGGAGATCCCATTATAAATTTTTGTTATTGTTTAGATTCATTTCAATTTCTGCCCAAAACAAAAGGTGTTTTATTTCTTTTGGGTTTTTATTTATTTATTTATTAACTTCCCCTTATTTTAAAGTTGTTCCTTAATATCAACGTGATCAAGAAAAAAACCCCAAACTATAACTTATTTATTTTTATGGAATTGAATCCACTATATTAGTGTTTCTTTAGAATTGATTATGGCATGCTCGGAAAAAAATAACTAGATTATGCGTAGCTAGGACTTTTTTCCTAAGTGAATTGTATTATCTTATTTTTCACTTTGCAATTCTACTATTTCTTTTATTACCGCATTTAATTTTGTATTGTTGCTGTTGTATTCTGAATAAATTTGAAATAATTGTCAACTAATACAAAAAATCTTGATATCTTTGAATCTAAAAATTATTTTTTTTATATTACATAACACTAGCTGGTGTTAATTTCAATTTTAATTTTTTTATATTGCAGAGCACTAACTGATATTCATTGTTTGATATTTAATTTTAATTTGATTTTTTTAAAATTACAAAACACACTGGTTAGTGTACATTGTGTAATTTTTTTTTAGATTATAAAGTATTAACAAATGTACAATAACTTTGATTTGTGTGTTTTGTTTTGTGTTTATAATTTTTTCTTGACTTGCTTAGCAAAAGTGCTTTTACTTTTAATTTTTGTGTTGATATGAAGTTTGTACTTTAAAGTCATAAAATTTGTTAACAAAAACAAAATGTTCATGATTGAATTACTTGCCGTATTTTAAGTAGTTGATTGAAAAATACCTATTTTCAAAATATACAACTAAACATATTTTCAAGTTTTAAAAATAAAAAACAAAACAAAAACAAAACAAAACTTTTCAAAACTAACCATACCTCTATTCATATTTTGACTTCAAATTTATAGCAACAAATTGAATAAATTACATTTTAACCAAGTAATTTTATACTCAATTACATTTTGATATCACCATTATTTACACTTTGCCTCTAGTCATGGGCCATACACTTTAACATAAAAAATAATTTCTTTTTAACACTTGCCAAACATAATTGGATTCCAGTTAATCTTTTTTTCTTTTTTTTCATTTGTCATTATTAAAGTATCTCCAACATTGTATCTTTTTTTTCTTTTTTATCAAATTTGAATAAAAACTCTATCTGATATCACGTGCTCCAACAAACTTTTATTAAAACACCGATCAACTGGGAAAACGACCGGAAGAATGTCCTGCTAGTATAGTTTTTTCACAAATTTTTGCAAAAAAGTAATCGTCAGACAAAATGTCTAGCCGGTCGTCCAGTGACACAAGTCCAATGGTTATGAACAGTAAAATGATGAAAGAACCCCAAGCATTCTCAATTTGGTAAAAGATTTGTGATATACTCAATTTGATATTCATCTAATAAAACCATTGATGTAGGAAAAATGACAATTTCTCAAAATTTGATAAAAGAATTGAGGACACGTTGAAGATGGTATTACTGGACTGCTTATAACTCAATCTGCATCCAAACATTCAGTGCAAACTCTTAATTATCAATTTTCAACTTGAAAAGAACTACACCAAACAAGCCCAAAATGATTCCAACAAAGCTCCTTTTATAGGTGAAACCAAATGGAGCCCGAGTCTAACTTAGGCAATAGAACTTTTGTATATGTAAAAGGTATTTAATAATGACACAAGGATTTTCACATTTTGAAGCAGTCTTTAGTCTCTGAACTTATGGTTGGCAAATATTCAAAGTAATATTTTGCCCCTTCCACATCCTTGGAGAAGGCAACTTTAGTGTTGACTTTCTCAGAATCAGTTTCCATTGTACCAAAATAAATAAATACAATAAATTAAGATGTTATGAATTTTAATAATCTCTATTTCATGCACAAAACAGAAATCTTCAATTCATTACCCATATTCTCAACTATTCTTTTTCCAAAATTAAATTGGCTCTCCAATTCTTGCTACAAGCAAGGCTCTCTTCTCCCTCTCCAACGTGACCACAAAAATAATGACACCTCAACAATGATGAGAAACAAATTGTTCAATGAAAATTCATCTCATGAATATACAATATCCCAGAATCCTAACCACAATAACACAAAAAAGAAAGGCAAAACCTAAAATCCAGTGCCATTTGCAAGAAAAATGACCTCAAAAGTCCACTCACCAGAATAAAGCTAGCACTTATTTCAACTAACGAAACCAAACAAACCATAATTGTCACAATCGAAGGCCTAAAGTAAAACACGGAAGGGGAAAAAGAATTGCAGTCTCAAATTTTAAGCAGCAGCCAAATTTTGTTTTCCCAAGGGAAGGAAAATACCAAGCAGATAGCAGTTGCACGACTGGTTCAACAGTTCTTTAGCTCCACACCCACCACAAAACAGCATAGACGAAAGTAGAACCACCATGGGTAAAAATTATTAGATAAAAATCATACAAACCAATGCCTATAAACGTATTGAATGTGCAGAATTCATTATTTACAGACTAAGCAGAAAAGTTGAGATAGAGTCTCATAATTCATGAGACATGGTGAACAATAACTAAAACATAAACAATGGATGAAGATTGATGGTCTCCAGCACTCAAGATAAATTATAATGAGCAGCAAGCTTATGGAACGTTTAAACACACCTTGGGGGGACCTACACCTTCTGCAACTGCTTAACACGTTCCATTCTAAAGTGCAACTGTTGGACTCTACTACCTTTCCTACTAACTGGCCTCTAATCAGAGGGCAAGGTTTGCAAGTGAGTTGCATGAATTAACCCACCAGCATCAAATTAAGAACTCACTTCACCTGTGCATCTAGATGCTGATGAAGCAAAAAGAACTCTAACCACAAAATAAACATACTACAAGGAACATAAAAGCACTCACAAATAATACAGGTTCATTTGTCCAGAACGCATAGCATATATAAACCTACACACTAAAATTTTCAAGCTCCATAATAATAATAAAAAAAATTTAAAAATTAAAATTTTTAAAAAAAAGGGCAAATACAGGCAGAACAAGCTGTAGATGGAAGAAAATAATTTCCTGATGACCTAATGAGGCTAACCACTCCGACCAAACCAACATCCAACTCACAAGCATCCCAAAAATACAAAATTTTTAAAAAAATCAGAAGAAAATCTGGAAAAAGAGATAAAAATCACTTAAAACACATTTTAGTTACAAAAATCAAAATAGTTCATCTCTCCACAAAATCCAATAGTTCACAAGTAGAGCATTTCCCTCCCAAGTTGTATCCAACAGACACAGATCAAAAGAACATGCATACATTTATATGTGTACATAATTGTACTTGCATTATTGCATACATATAATATATAGGAATATACTTCGTGATAACTACATACATATAGCAGCCTTGTCAATAAACCTAATAGCATGAAGTAATTACGCACAAATATGGAGCCATCCCAACCATGTATTGGAAGCATACCATGTGTTAAAAAGATCATAACCAGAAGCAAGAATGAAAAACATTAAGCATCTCAAGAAAGTAACACAAAATATTTCCGATACCTATAACAGTAAAATATATATAATAAAAAAGCACAGATGATATATAGGTTTCTGATCCAAAGTACAGAAACTGTCTAACTAGTCACTTCAGCTACCACAATCATCAAGGAACTACATGTTAAGTAACAGATGAAATGAAGAAGTGCCAAAGTAGAAAGTACAGCTAATAAAATTCATCAAGGCAGAGTTCAAAGTGTCTGCATTCACGAAATCACCAGAACCACTAAAAGCAACTGCGCCCAACAAGCTGTCATACACTTGAATCAAACATCCATTGGCAACTCAATCCATCAATCTACATCCAACAAGCAAAACAGATGTCATGCTAACTGGAAGCAAATTATCAAACGAACAATCAAGCACCGAGAAAGCCTCCATGTAGCAACAATAAGGAACATAACAAGCAATTAAGACATTCATTACAAACATGTAGAATTGGAATATCACAAAACAATAGTATTTTGCAAAAGACATCCAAAGATAAAATACCAGGCAAACAGAACACCATAAACATATAGTCAATATAATTTCAGCAACAAAAACAGCAACAAAAGTTACACACTGAAGACAAGGGAAACCACTTATGAATAGGTTCTCATTTGATGGGAAAAATATATTATCCTGCAAAACAATAAGGGTAAATTACACTTTTTACCCCTCAACTTCCACCTGAATTTAGGTGAAAATGAAAGGTGAAAGGTGTAATTTTGTCAATAATTTTTTTTTCCCACATGAGCACTTATTTATAATAAAGAGTTATAATTACATATAACAATACCACAATTCCAAGCAATTGCTTCGTTATCTAATATGCCGAAATCTACAATATATTACAATATGGAAGTGGATCAATAATAAATTAACAAGAACAAAGACGGGAAGAGAAGAGGAAAGGAATGTAAGGATGGCAACGGAGCAAGGTGGATTTGTAGTGCCCTGCCCATATCATATCCGGTAGGGGGGGTGGGGGTGGTTGGTAATAATAAAAGTAAGAGATGATATGGTATATTACGGATAATGATTAATTAGTAATGAAAGTCAAGATGTAAGATGATAGGTAATTAAGTAAAACTGAGTGTTAAAGTACAATATTTTATACCTATACAAAGAGATTTAATAAATATAATCGGGGCGTGGGCGGGCTAGAATGGGGTTGGGAATGAAAACCCATCCCCTCCCGCTTCCTTATTAGGGCAGGGTGGAAATTGTTATCCTTGGGGAATCAGGCAGCTTGGTTGCACAATTTTTAACCAAAAAAAACAAAAAAAAATTCAGACTACTAACGATATAGAAGGATTTATGCCTAAAGTTTAGAGCTTATTTTAACCCAAATCACCACCACGCCAACCATTACAACTAAATTTAACCAAAACAACCTGCAAGCCAATACACCCTAAGACGATGCTGCCCTGCTCGAGTTACACTCTTCACTAATGTTTTGAAATCTAGTCTGCTAAGCAAAGCAGAAAAAAGACAAGAGCAAGGGTCATGTTATGTCATTGAGATATAAACATTAGGAGAGATCTATAAGGAGAGTTTGTGAGATTGAGTGAGAAACTCTTGTAATTCCTCTATTCAAATCTCGGTGAAATCGTATTGACTCCGTGAATGTAAACCACGTAAATATTTTTGTATTGCTCAATGTGTTTTCAATTTTCTTCTCTGTTCTAGCTTCATTGTTTGTGCGTGTGTGATTGCTCAAGTCTTGGAGACTGGTGTTTAATCACTGCAATGCTAACAACCAATAATGCTGCTCATGCATGTCAATACCAATAAAGCCTCAAAGAAACACAATTAACAAGACAAAAACTTAAATAGCAAACCGCACAATCAAAGAACTAAAAAAATACCAATCAAGCTTTGGTCTCATCTGCTTGACAAAATATAAGTGAAAAATACATCTCATCTTTGATTTAAGTCATTCATAATGAGAAGAAGCTCATTTCATACAAAATATAAGTGACTCAAATCCATATGACAATATAACACTATCAAAGGGGGGAAATTGTCTTTCAACCAAGGTTTTAAGTATCAGTTACGAACTGGCCAGTTTGAATAGATTTTTTGGTACCTGATTTGGATACACCCCAATGATGATGATACAAAACTGCTCTAAAACCAACTGGTTCATGTTACAAATTAGCCTGAAGCAGATTCACCTAACAGAACTGATCTAGTTCACTGAGCAAACTTCAATTGGTCCAACAATTAACTGACATGCAACAAGCTTCCAATGTTCCCAAAAGCTTAAGTTGTTAGAAAATATGCCCAATAAGTATATCAACCTATCCAACACTCTCCCTCACATGAAATCCCATCTTGCACGTGGAGATACAAACATTCATACATAGAAAGAAGAAAGAATGTAAACAAGAAAGAAATAATGCAAACGGGGAGCAAATACAAACGGAAAAAAGTACGTTGATTCAACACACACAATCTAACAAGGTATTAGTAATACCAAGGTATTAGTTAGTCCCAAGGTATTAATAATCCCAAGGCTATCTCTCAAAACAAACACCCCATATACTAATCCCAAGGTACTAGTAATCCTAATCCCTTGCTATAACCCAAAACAAACGGGGCCTTAAGTTGTTAGAAAATATGCCCAATAAGTATATCAACCTATCCAACACTCTCCCTCACATGAAATCCCATCTTGCACGTGGAGATACAAACATTCATACATAGAAAGAAGAAAGAATGTAAACAAGAAAGAAATAATGCAAACGGGGAGCAAATACAAACGGAAAAAAGTACGTTGATTCAACACACACAATCTTCAACCAGATACAAAAAAAAAAAACTATGTTGATTCAAAATAAATGTGGTTCTAACACATCAATGTCATTGAACATGTGACACTCAACAGGTTCAATAAGCAACTTATCACCACTCTGTCACTAATTACTTTGATGTTGTTTGATGATTTACAAAAGAGTAATGATATACAAACAAAAAATTCATACACAATTTCATATAAGTGATGACATACAAACAGAAAATTCTTACATAATGATGTAACTCAATGTGGACCTTTGACTTTAAAATAAAACACCCATCAAGATGACTTCTATTCATGAAAATGGCCCTGCCACATCAATCTTGTGAATTTTTTTGTATGAATAGAGTTTTCTTTTACAAAGCACCCTAGTACACAATTGAATAGTGCAAAAATATAGATGTTTAGTATAAAAGTAGATATTAATCTACAATGCACGGGCTCAAACACGACACGAACAACCCAACATAGCAAAATGCAGGACACGACATGCAAGGGTCAAACCCAAAATATATAATTTTGTAAATTTATTATATATCATATATATAAGTATGTTTATAAGCTTATCGATTGATTAGCATTTGTAAGTTATTTCATACTTATAATAGGCAACAAAAATAAACTTCTATATATCAAAATATTTATTAAAATGTGGCAAGCTGGGCTTAAGAGGGTGAAATAAAATGATGCATATCATTAATTTATTTCACACTTTCCGATAAGTATCGCTTGATACTCACAATACCATTACACTGCAACCGTTACTGTTATGTGTCCCGCTACTGTGATTTAAAACCATGTTTTCAACTAAAATAATAAAACAGCATTCTCTACACGATGAAACGTGACCTTAAGTTATTAAGCTCATCCGGTTCACTGCTGCAGAAGAATATCAAAATACAATCCCGTATTCAACCACAAATGCTGAAATATATGTGCCAACACAACAGACGAACACACATCAATTTGTAGGTATAGCCCAACCACCAATGCATTTACCAACCAATAACATGAGACAGAAAGAATTTCAATGCAGTAACCACCAGAACAGGCATATCATATACCACATGAAATCAACAGGACACCAAAAACATACAATTCCAAACAAATCCAGTATGAGAAAATTTGGCAAAATTGAATAGAAAATTGACCACGTAGCACCCAAAATACTTGTTACTCACAAAGAACACATAAAACAACAAACTTTCAAAAGTTGCCACAAAATGAACAAATCATAGAAGAAAACACAAAGACAAAAGCCTCGAAGAAACACAATTAACAAGACAAAAACTTCAACAGCAAACCGCACCATCAAAGAATGCAAAAATATTCACATCAATCATAATCAAAATAAGAGAAAAAACAACCAAAAAACTGGCACCAAATGTCACAGCACAAGAGAGATATCCGATGTTGAGAAAACCAAAAACTAAATCTAAAAAGAATCGATTGAAATTTATAAGAATTGTAAGAAAAACTACCTCAATAGTATGGGGGGCCACTTTGGTACATTCCCCCAGGTGGAACTCTAGTGGCAGGTGATGTTCCAGCCGGATGGCTTTGCTGGCTAGAATAACCAGAAGACGACAAACTATAATGTGCACTCTCAGGATAACTGCCAGAAGGCATCCCACCTGAGCTAGGTGGCAACCCATACAATGAAGATCCGCGGCCAGCACCACCCAACCCACTTCCAACGCCACCAAAACCGCCCCCACTGCCACCCAATCCCCCAGTGGCACCACCTAATCCTCCATATAGAGTAGAACCAGGCCCACCATAATGAGAACCACCATAAGGACCACCCAACCCAGAACCATAAGCACCAGTAGCACCCAAAGAAGATGGTGCTTGATTGCCCATGGAGGACAACACAGGACCAGCAGCAGCAGCACCACCCACCGAGGACAATCCAGGAACACCACCCATTGATGAATTCAAAGGATGATGACCCTGTAATCCACCCGAAAACCCACCATACGAACCAACAGGCACGCCATACTGTGCAGCGAGCGAACCGGGCATAGAAGAAGGTGGATGATGCATCCCAAGCCCATTTCCATGAGCCTCACCAGGAACCCCAGTCGGCCCCTGAACCCCCCCAGCCCCTGGTGCAGCAACAGGCATCTCTGGCTTCCCTTTCTTCCCATCAATTGCCAATTTACAATTCAATTGATGCCCATCAATCGTCTTAATCGGATCAACCAGCGAAGCCCTAGCAGCCTCAATAGTCTTATAAACAAACAAAGCATACCCTCTTGACTTCCCAGTCGCCTTATCGAAACCCAAAGGCCCTTCCTCAATCTCCCCATACGATAAAAAATGCGCCAACAATCTATCCCCAGGCATATCATGAGGCACATTAGCCACATAAATCTTCCTCGCCGACACATCCACACCCGAATGCGGATTCACAGTGGGTTGAATTCCGGCAGCAGCAAGCTGCGTAACGGTCATTCGACCATCAATTTTCTTACTAGGTTCCTTCAATGCCAACAAAGCCCCATCAACATGCTTGAAAGTAACAAAGCCATAACCTTTACTCTTACCTGTGGCTTTATCGAGTATCACAACGCCTTCATCGAGGTCTCCGTATGCGGAGAAGAGAGAGCGAAGCTTCTCGGTTGTGGTGTCCCAACCGAGACCGCGAATGAAGAGCTTTCGCTGAGCTGGGTCGCGATCGGCGATTGATCGGACGGCGTCGAGGACGTCGAGGTGGCGAACGGCGGCATTTTTTACGATCTCGAGGAGCTGTTCGTGTGTGAACGGTTCGATGATCTTCCGAGCGTCGTCGACTGTGAGCTGGTTCGGCCCGGCGTCGGAGTCCGGTAGTGCGACGCCGTTTTCATCGAGCTTTCGCTTCTTGATTGGGTCCATTTGGGGATTGAGATATCAAACAAGAGATATGCTCGTAGAAGAAAATTCCCTTCTGTAAACCCTAACCCTAGGAGAGAGAGAGAGAGTGAGAAGAGTAAAGTGTGTTGATTATGGATAGACATGTGGAGAAGACAAGCAATTGGATGTTGGGTTGGCCTGTCAGAACGAAGACGTTGGGCCTCATTGGTTGGTTTCGATGGCTAAACTACGAAGCCCAACAATACTTTCATTTCTTTTCTTTTTTTTTCTCTTTTTCTTTTTTCAACAAAAGTAAAAATTACACTTTTCATTTAGATTTTTTTTTTGAGAATTTTTTTTAAGGTCCCTAATAATAACAATTTAGAGCATAAAAGACATCCAAAAAAATTGTGATGCATCAGGTCCCTGAACAACTTGGCGCGCGTTTTTAATTATTTTGTGGACCAAAACACCCTTGCCAAAATCAACACAGAAACGAAAGTCATTCCGACGTCTGAGTTTCATTCCAAACATCCAGCATCTTCACGAACAGGAGAACAGCAGAATTAGGGTTTCAACATCATCTGCACCATCGACATTAGAGCTTCGTTATCTTATCCAAAAATCATTCTCATTCCTTCCTCACAAATTTCTCTGACCTAGGTTAAAGCTTCGTTTTCACTACACATCATCATCTTAGTTCATCTTCGTCACGTCGCATCTTCATCTCGAGCCATATCAGCTCGTCATTCAAGTTTCATCCTAACTCTGGTCAGTTTTTTTACAATACAACTAGATTTTCTCTGGAAACACAGTTAATAACATTTTATAATAACCTTCCATAAATTTGGGTTTCAATTTCGTAATAAAAAAGCTACTTGAATTTGGAAAAAGTTATTTCTGTGTGTTTTGAACTTATTCTTAAACATGTTTGTGTGATTTTATCTGTAAATTTCTCTGGCATTTGAATTTCTCTGATTTTTGCTTGATGTATGTTTCTTCTTTCAATTTTCTCTGGCATGTTTATTTTCACAAAAACAATTTTCTGTGTTTTTATCTTATTCTTGAACATGTTTCTGTAATTTTGTCTATAAATTTTCCTGCTCTGTAAATTTCTCTGTAATATGTATTTTTAATTGGAATGTCTATCTTTCTCTGGAATGTCTATTACTCTATTGCCTCTGTCTAAGTTTCTCTGGTATTTATAATTTTCTCTGACCACATCACATCACTTTCCTCTCTTGTGTGTCTCTATCATTTTTAATTTTCTCTAAAATTTTAATATTATGGACTGGAATGAATGTTTCTTCTTTAAATTTTCTCTGCCATGTATATTTTGAGAAAAAGTTATTTCTCTGAATTTTGATCTTATTCTTGAACATGTTTCTGTGATTTTGTCTATGAATTTCTCTGCTTTGTAAATTTCTCTGGAATATGTATTTTTCTCTACAATGTCTATTACTCTCTTGCCCCTGTCTAAGTTTCTCTGGTATTTATAATTTTCTCTGACCACATCACACCACTTTCCTCCCTTGAGTGTCTCTATCATGGTTAATTTTATATGGTTGTGTATGTAAATTTCTCTTGCATTTTAATATTATGAATTGAAATTTTATCTGAAATTGAAATTTCCTTAAGAATGTGTAATTTTCTCCGGAATGTGTATTTTTCTCTGGTATGTTTATTTTGTTCAATTATTGGTTTCAATATGGTGTAATTCTCAGTGGCATGTTTACATTACTTTATTTATTTTATCTTGCTAATGGTTTCAGTACCCGCGGGATTATTAACAGTACCTTTTTTAGAGAATGTTAATAAATTCCAAAATCCATTTCGTCGTCCAGTCGCGACAACCGTCTTTTTGATTGGTACGGCAGTAGCCCTTTGGTTGGGTATTGGTGCAACATTACCTATTGATAAATCCCTAATGATGTGCGCAGTACAAAGTTCATGATGCAGAACTCATTTGGTTATCCTATTAACTTGGATCATCCGAAATAAGTATCTTCAAAATTTGAGAATCCCAATGATATTGTCTTTTCTTTTTTTTGCTTGCCATGTTTACTTTTTTCGATCATTTATTTTCTCTGGTATGTTTACTTCTATATGTAATTTTAACAATTATTGAAAATTTCTCTCTCATGTTTATGATGCTGTGTTGATTTTCTCTGACATTTAATTTTTAATGTCTCATTTTCTCTGGCACGTCAAATTTTCTCTAGCATGTCCAATTTTCTGTAATTTTTTCTTATTTGTAATTTTCTCTGACATCTCCAATTTTCTCTTTTCTGTAATTTTCTCCCTCATCTGTAATTTTCTCTGACATGTCCAATTTTCTCTGGGATTTAATGTTGACATCTTTATGTTTTAATCATTGTCTAGAAATGGCAAAACGGTAAAAGCAGCGAAACACCAAAACACCAAGCAAAAAACAGAAACTCTCTCAGTCTTCTTATGGACTAGGATCAAAAACCAGCAGCAAAACACTAGAAACACCAAGTAAGAAAGAACAACTCTCTCAGTCTTCTTTTCATCTAAGATAAAAAACCAGCAGCAAAACGCCACAAACTCCTCACCAAAACATACAAGTCCAAGCTGATGAAGCAACTAGCATCCAGATGAGTACCCCAACTTCAAAAGACTCAAGCTCAAGGGGGGAAAAACCTGTTAAACTCCAAAGAAAGAGAGCTCACTACAACATTCAATACCGATCCAACCTCTCATATGTCGCCTCCTTTTTTCAAACACTTAAATTCAATTCAAAACAACTTCTAGAGCTTCAAAAGACCCCATTCTGGTATTTGATCCAAGATCTAACCACTGGAAGGATGGGTCCAAAGAAATCTAGGAAATCCGATGTTGATGTAGTTGCCATAATCCAATGTTACAATGAAAAAACAAAAGCATTCACAGTTGGTAAGAAGAACCTGACCTTTACAACAAATGACATGACCTTGATTTTTTGTTTGGAATGAGGTAAAGGAGCCATGTCATTGAGATACTCTAAAAAGCCAAAATCTACATTCCTCAGCAGAAGATTCCAAAAGGACACAATGCTCACTGATCCCGTTCTTAAAAATGCCTTGGTCAAAGCAATGAAAGGCAAGCAACCAACTGACTTCAAAGATATAGCAATCATTGTTACATTGTACTTGTGTCTCACCCTATTTTTTGCAACAAGTGGGAATTCAATAGGTTGGGTTTTTATAAAGTATGTGGAACCTCTTGAATCAATGAAACAGTATGATTGACCGGAAGCAATCACACCAACATTGATTGATTCTATCATGGCATTGCACAAAACTCTAGAAAAAGTTACGGGATGTGTCATTGCATTACTGGTAAGTATAATATCCATTCAAATTTGCAGTTATCATACTTACAAATTTGTGCGTTTAGAAAATTTTATTTACTTTCATTTTCATCACAATATTGGCTATGTGAACATGCAACTATCATTGACTCGGAAGACAGTAACACAACTGACTTCCCAAAATGTGCCAAGTGAAACCTGCAAACCTTAATGAAACAGCTGCAGAAGACACCAGTCCACTCTCTTGCACCTCGGCAGGTTAGATTCCTATTGCTACTGAAATCTCTGTGAAATTCCAAAATTTCTCTGACCACTGCTTTGTTTTCCCTCATTGTGCGTTGATTGATTAAGATCAATTTTCTCTGAACTATCAATTTATATTTTCTTCTTTGGTTACCACTGGTCTATTTCTGCTATTGTAATCAATTTTCTCTGCCATCCAAATTTCTCTGATCACAATTGTAACACATTAACTTATATGCCCTAATTGATTTTCTCTGATATCTAAATTATGTTGGTTGTTTCATAATTTTCTCTGGCCCATCAAATTTTATCTCCTTGTGTGTAATTTTCTCTGTCCATAACTTACGTGCCTTGCATCTGTAATAACCCCCATCACTGTTTACCGATAAAACATTGATTACCGTCAAACTGAACTGATTATGACTGATAATTGAACTGATTAAAGTACTGAACTGACTGATTGAAAACTGGAACTGAATTGACTGAGTATGTATGTTAATTTGTATTCTATCTGTTTGATTGTTTATTTGATCTGTTCATGTTTTATGTTCAAACTGCTAATTGGAGGCCTTATCGGCGGCCGAATCGGGAATTGATTGATATTTTATGATCATCATAATTTATGTGATTTTATGGTATAATTATCTGAAAACTGATTAGGTATGATTAAATTAGATTAAATATCAATGAATTGCAAGTGTTCGACTTATTTACACTTTTGCCACACTTAGTGGCCACTATCTCACACACATTTGAGCCTTGTATACACTTATACACTTAGATCAAAACATTGCTCAGCCTTTCTCCTTGCCATAGTCGACCAAGAGGGGGAGAGAGTGAGAGATTGAATTGTTCATCTTGAATTGCTTGGGAACTTGAAGAATTGCTTAGTAATTGAAGTATAGATTACATATTTGAGCTCCTAGTCTTCTAATTCCAAGACTTAGGTAAGGATTTCATCTTCTCATTCTTGTGTTTGAGCTAATTCTTGCATGGTCCATGTTAAATTGTAGAGCTAAGTCATGTTTTAGTTCATACATGTTGATATAGAGCATAATCCATGCATGCCTGTTTGAATTGTTGGATTTTGAGTTGAATTCATGGCAAATTGTTACATGCATGTCCATGATTTTGTAATGGTCCATGTTTTCATTTTGTTTTTGGATCAATTGGCTCCTTAGAGCATCAAATTGAGCTTTGAGTTGTTTAAAATTCATGCATGTTTGCATGTTCATCCTGTTCTTGAAAATGGTTTGAAATTGAGTTTGAATTAAACACCCTTGGGCTTTGATTTCTCAATGTTGAGTTTTGAATCATGTTTAACTATGTGTTTACAATGTTTTCTGGAAATTCAGCCCAAGAGGTCGAGTTTTGAGTTGTTAAAACTTGGTTTTTAGCTTGGAGGTGCAATCTGGGTTTTCCAGATTCTGCACTTCCGCTCGAGCGGGGGCTAGTGACACTCGAGCGGGGAATCCGAGCATCCAGTATTTTCTCTGCACTGTTTTACAGTCCGCTCGAGCGGAGGATTGGGCGCTCGAGCGGAAGGCATGTTGTCTCACAATCGAGCGGGCGTCGAGCGTCCGTCGAGTGGAGATTTC